ATATAAAACCATCGTAGAAAAGTCTTTTTAGGTTAGTTACTATAAGAAACAAATGTAGAAAATCTTTCATATATCATAAAAATATCCGATGTAAATATAACTCACAAACTATGTCACTCATATTTAATACCCTCTACCAATCAACTTGAAATGCCCTACATGACCAATGTAAAAATTGCTCCTTGTAGTAGTGTGTTTTCTTGTCATGGTGAGAACAAGAAAGAGCAAGCAATACCACACTCAAGTTGTGTTTGTTTGTCAAACATAACTGCAACAGTACTGGTTGTCATGATTAATGTAATGATGAGAAAAGATCGTTTAATTTCATGTAGGATTAATGCAAAAAGGTGGTTGCAATTTCTATTATACTTCCAATTAGGTTGAGCAAAATCAATTAAATTTTTCAAGTTAAGATGAATGAAAATTGGACAAGTTGAATTCTTAATTAAGTTGCAATCAAAACTAATAATGAAAATTTGACTTAATGATTAAAATAGGACTACTATTATTTCTACCCTTTGAATTTCATAATACTTAATTAGCCTCCTCTCATTTGAATTATTAATGATGATATGTCTTATAGCCTAAGACTCAGAGAGTAGTTGAAAAAGCTTTCTTAAATCAAGAAAGTTTCTAATTTCATCAATTGCTCATTTTTTTGTTACAATTAATAAAATTCAATTTTAAGCTTCAACCTTAATATAAACAATTTCTTACATTATTTTATCCAAAATCCTGCAATCAAACAAGCCTTCTCAAGCATAATTAAAATGACGAAAACAATTAACTAAATGGTGGCATATTACTTAGAAGAATTAATTAAGCTCAGAGTAAAATCAACAAATACAAGTAATCACTGTTACAAGGGAGTAATAAAGTATTAATCCATACAAAAGTACAAATAATTTTAGAACAAAATGCCTCACTGTTGGTCAGCCACAAGCAACATATATGCAAAATAATCATAGCCATAGCTAAATTCAAGAAAGTGAAGGGAAGAAGAATTAGAAAAATAAAAAAAAGTGGCTCCAAATCTCTTCAAATCTTAAATCACTGGATTCAGTGGATTCAAAACATTCAAAATATTTTAGTGTACTATATGGTGTTCAAGTAATAAAACATGACACATACTCAATAAATAAGTACTATTTAGTTATTGTATAAACATAAGCAAAAATCCTCGCCATTTTTTATAAAGTAGCACAAAGTATTACGTACTTGCATTAATTTTCTATTAATTAACAATCATTATGGATTATATTATCAATATATATAAGACTTTCCATTGAGCTCATGGGAGAGAAAACCTCTGAAATATTCAGAAACACAATTCTTTTGAATTGAGCTGATCCTTTTCAAGTAACTAGGCTTGATGCTGGACCAATCTCCATCTAACTTAGGGCTATAGAAGGTGCCTATAGAGATAATTTATTTCTTTGAGTTCATAGTTACTCTATGTTCTATACTCTTGTATATTCCATTTGTCATAACATAAACCCAAATTAATTATCATCATCTATAGCTATTAGGTACTCCACCCTTCGTAGATCAGGCCAAATATAAACCCATGGGGTTTTGTTAGAATATAAAGAAAACTTGGGTCTGAAAGTATAATATGCCCTGGGTCAAGTGTGCAATTTTCTCTTAATTGTTTAAATTTGAGTGGGAACAGTTACTAACGCACGCACGCATAGCAGAAAAAAAAAAAAACACCAGTATGGATAGTTTAAGAAGATAGCCTCTAAGCATTTTTATGGTTGTCCCAAAATTCTCTCTACTTTCTTTTCTCTCTTCTTCTCAATGTGCATTTACTGTGAGTTCAAAACTTAGTCCAATCACATGATTCCATTCTCGCATTCTATTCATCTCATCTGATGCAACTACGTTTTGAGGTATGTCTTCTTCCTCCAAAAACTCATATTGGTATTAGAGTCTAGTTGTTTCTAGGCTACATTCACTGATTGAAAATATAATGATTTGCTTATTCAAAATTTCATGCTTTTACTTGTTAGCGTATATATGTTATATTAGGCTTTACACTTAATCCATAAATTGTGTGCAAGAGTAGACACTGTTGAAACTTCCAACCCTAAGAAAACAAAAGAATTGGGTGTTTGGAAATACTTGTTTTGGGCAAATGGATTGCATAAACATGTGGTGACAAAAAAACAAAGAAAACAAATTCAAGAATGCAATAAATGGACGTTAGATATGGGTTCGACGAACTCGACCCAAGGCTCTAGTCGAGTCAAAGTGACCTAAATAGAGATTGAGGACAATTGAAGCAGTGTATTTCAATCATCTAATATATGTGTGTGTGTGCGCACACGCGCACGCGCGCGCTTTTGGGTTGGTGAGCCCAGAAGGCTCTATCAATTTATTTAAAAAAAATTGGTTTTAGGCTACGAGCTCAGACCCAATAAAAATAGTTTTTTGCTATTAGGCAAACAAGCCCAAACCCCTTTTTTTCTTAAAAAAACTATTATTAAAAAAAATGGATATAGGGTCCTCCGTACCTGACCCGATTCGAATTAATTTAAATAAATAATTCTAGTTATATTAAAAAATTTATTAATAAAGAAAGACACGTGGTGTGTGAGACCATTGGAAGGCCTTATAGGCATGCACAGGACCCAACTAGAAGCTGACGACATGTAGAGTATCATGGACTAGCGTGTGTCACCACTAGAGCAAGGGAAGGCAGCACGTGAACTGTATGCACCATCTTTAAGAGTGGGCATTGTTTGGTTTTTATTTTTCTAGAATTTTTTGTCCAATGAGTTTCTCGTGGCACGTGAGGGTGAATGAGACATTTGATTGAGACGCAGTTTGTCTTAAAAAATTTCTGAATTCCAAATCTTCATTTTGTTATGCTACTTGCCTATATTTGAGACAAATTGAAATCTATTTTTGAGCTATTTAGTGCATTTTATAAGTTTAATCATTTAAAAAAATCCTAAAAAATTTTATTTCTTTGTATTTTTAGTAAAACTTGAAGCATGAGGCTTTTAACAGCATCAATAACTCAAAAAATTATTTTGTTAGCATTGAATATATCGATTAGCTAGATTATGTGCCTTTTAGTGAGGATTCCAACTCGAAACCCTTTGAAAAGGAGGAGGAGGAGTATGAATATTAAAGTGAGGATTTTGATCCTAAAAAGAGGATCCTAATGACAATCTTAAAGATGTTTTGGAAGGGTCTAAGGAAGTGTGTACGATGTCGAGACCAAAATACAAATAAGAGGGTGTTGAGAATTTTCAAGAAAAAGATGAAGCTGTAGAACAACCTTTTACACCCTCAATGATAAAAAACATAGCTAAGAGATATTCTAAAAAAATTAAAAATCCATATCACATTTCTCCAACTATAAGAAAATATTCAAGCTTCATAACTAAAGAAGAAGCTATGGTTGCTGGGAAAATTTTCAAACAATTCAAGAAAGAACATATGAAATGTAACAAGCATTACTACAAAATAACCTTATGGGAGAGCTTATTTTTGATTTATGGGAGCACTTTTGAAGCACTTCTATAGCTAGCGTTCCCATATATATGGGAGTGCTTCATAAGCACTCCTATAGAAGTGGCCTACGGGAGCGTTTTTAATAAACCACTCCAGTAGGGTTCCAAAAATTTAAATTTTTTTGTAAAAACTTTAGTTATGAGAATGCTTTCTAATAAAACGCTAAAATATCTTACAAGAGCCCTTGTATGAAAAGCGCTCCTGTGTATGGGGCTTGCAGGAGCATTTTCTGGTAAAGCTCTCCCATATGTATATTTAAAAAAAAACAATTAAAATTTCAATTTTTTCATTTTATATTCTTTGAATAATTCTAGAAATAATTAATTTCATATAACCCAAAATTTTGATGGTCTTATCGCTGGCAAAAAAATTTCATGACAAAAATAACTTGTCAAATAAATTACAAACATTACAATTACAAGTCTTTGAATAGGCAAGCTGTTTGGATTGACTAAAACATGAACACAACAATGGTAAAGTACATGGATATTATTGGATCAATAAATTTGAATGCAGTAACATCAAGACTTGAAAATTGGAACTTTTATGCCTGCAAAAAAAATAACAAAAAAATAATTTAATTAAATCATAAAATATCACATTAATAATGAATAGGTCTAAAAAAATGAATAATTTCAGTTCTAAAATGAAGAACGTACAACAAAGTAAAGGATAAAATAATGGAAGAGCTTAATTCCCCCATCCAATTTATACCTGTTCACCTGCAACAAAGTAAAGGATAAAATATAGGATTTTTAAAAAAATAGATAGGCACAGACTCACCGCAAGACTAGTCGTGGGGGTAGCCACTACCTTATTCTGTTTATTTAAAAGAATATAAATGAATGAAGCTTTGGCCAGAATAGAAAAGATAGAGCAAATGAAATTAGAGAATGATTGATACATATTATGGCTTGCATCAAGAAAAAGGGTGAGATATCTATTGAACTGTTCTGTTCTAAGTAAATATAATTTCCTTGCAGTCTTCATTTCCTAGCCTCTTCTTGTAAGCAAATACAACTAATTGAGATTATGCTTTCCATATCTATGACCAGAAAAACATAAAGAATAAGAACAGACGGTACAAAGAATGAAAAAAAATTATTTCTATAATTAGTACAAACATCTTGATCATACTTAAAAATAATAAACTCCTAAAGGAAAACAATTGCTCTAGACCCTTTGATTCACCAGATCTCCTAAATCCTTCCATTTTATTCAAGTCCAAAACTTGGCACGTACCTTGTCATCCACTAGCCCGAAAGTAATCTAGATTGACATCGAAGAACTTGAATCTGTTCGAGCAAACGTTGAACCATGGCCAAGAACAAATTCCATATTGTTAGTGTAAATCTAGATTAAATTAAAGATGAAATAACAACCTTGGACCTGAAACTGGAGATAAAAACAGGATATTTTTGTCCTATTAATTAACACACTAGCTTGGAGAAAAATGAAGGAACCAGAGAATATGAATGGAAACGTTGCTTGACAATGCAACTAACTCGACAAGTATGTTCTAAGCATGCCACACTTACTCTATAATCATCATAATGGCTTAGATCCACAATTTTTTATAGTACCCATAGTCAGTCCCAGCTTCACAGATTACTAAAACAAATCACTTCTATATACTACCGAACACAGATGCCGAGAGGCGATCATTTTGAGCACATGATTTCAGTTATAAAATTTCTAACAGCATTATGTTATCATATATTAAAAATATGGAGATATATAAATGTTAAAAAAGAGATAAAATTTTTTAAAAAATTTGCCTAATGAAGAAGATGGAAAGGAGATGAGGGGGTCAATGGCTGAAGGTCCTATAAAGGGGAAAATGAGAAGAACTCGAGCACGTCAGTCTTCCAAAAGATTGCAACATTTGAGGAGGAGTTGAAGGCTGTGCTGCCAAAGGAGGTTGAAAGTGCGAGAATTGCATACGAGGACGGCAACTCATCAGTTTCAAACAAAATCAAGGAATGCAGGTCCTACCCATTGTACAAGTTCGTGAGAGAGGATTTAGGAACTGGGCTGCTTACTGGAGAGAAGACGGGGTCACCAGGTGAAGAGTGTGACAAAGTCTTCACGGCTTTGTGCCAGGGCAAGATCATCGATCCTCTTCTGGAATGCCTTGGGCAGTGGAATGGAGCTCCTCTTCCTATCTGTTAGTTTCAGTATTAGAATTACTACTCCTGGCAATGCTTTTCCTTTGTTATATAGTCTTTGCATGTGAAGCAGTCATAGAAAGCTTGTGTTTTGTCTCATGGAACTTGTAATTGAATAAATTAATTAATAACAATTAAATTTTTGATAAATTTTTTAAAATGAGTTACAAATATCGATACAAATAATTATAAATTCAGAATTTCTAATTATAAATAAGACATTTATTTAAGTTGTATATGTAACTTTTGGTTTTTTATTAGAATTCTTATTTGTAGCTATTTAAATTAATATTTGTCACTCATTTGTCAAAAATTTTATTGAGGACATAAATATTATTAATTAATTCTATACTTTGAGTTTTTAATATCATTCTCCCTATATCTAAGCCAACTTTATATCCAACTACATATAACATTTTGCACGTTAAAATAATAAGTATATACCACTTGATGTCCATAATTGAACAAGATACATATACACTAAATGCACAAAAATATTATGTGCTTATTCTATGCATACAAGCAAACCCATTCTTATTATGTTTATTGAGAAACATATATAGCAATATTTGCGTCATATCCTTTAGCGAGAATAACATTAAAATTCCTAAACAATGAATTTATGATAGTTAGGTCCTTGACAAAATTTTTTCTAAAATTAATTGTAAATATTAATTTAGACAATTGCAAATATAATAATTTTAATTTCAAATAAGATATTTAAATTATGAATATATATATATATATAACTCTTAATTTATAATAAGGATTCTTGTTTGCAACTGTTTAGATCAATATTTCTAACTTATTTTTTACAAAATTTTGTCAGGACCTAATTATATATCATAAATTCTCGATTTTGCAACTTTATTGCCATTCTCCCTATTCTCTATTGTCAATTAATCATTTTGGATCCTTATGGTATCAAGATAAGATTTTCCAATGAGCTTTTGAGAGAGAAAACCTTTAAAAAGTTCAGCAACACCAATTGTTTTGAATAAAGCTGGCCTTTCTCGATTTATTAGGCTTGGTGCTGGACCCAAATCTCCAAGTAACTTAGGGCTATAGAATGTGGCTATAGAGATCCTTTCTTTCTTTGAGATCACTGTTGCTTTATGTTCTATGCTCTTGTATATTCCGTTCGTCACAACCTATATATACTGTCCATAACAACATATAATTAAGAAAAATTTGTTCTTTTTTCTTTTTGAACTCATCAAATATTTGGGCAAAAAAAAAATTGCAAAAGCTTTACTTTAATACATATGGTCATGAATTCCTTTTCCCACCTCATTTTAAGTGCATCATATTGTCAATTACCACTGGATAGTTGTTAATGAAGCTGTTCAATTGACAGCTAAGCAGCAATAATTAACAACTATATATCCTGCAGTAGTAACTGATAACTTCAATAAATAACTTGGGATTTCAGAGTAATTTTGTGATTTCACTAGTCTTTGTATTTAAATTCATTATGTTGGGATCTTAGAATAATTTCCCCTTTTTAAAGTATCATTGCAATATGGGATCCATCTAACTTTATTCTAAAAGCGGCTAAACTGACTCAGAGCAAGGAGGGGGGGGGGGAAGAACTCTTAAATTATTGTAAAAGATTTGATTAATTACCTCCAACATATCACCAATGTTGACCACAAAAGCATTAGGGAGAAAAGTGACTGGAAACCAATTGTCATCCTTTTTTATTTGAAGGCATTGGTTGACTTAATTGACCTGAAGGAGAATAGTGAGGCCAATTGAATTTGAATGAGGACTCAAACCATTCACAAGCTCTGGTTGAGGACACGGTGGATAATAGTTCATCCTCATTGATTGCCAACCTTCTTCAAATAGATCTCTCATTTCATTTTCCTCCATCCCTAGTGCTTCCACCATTGCATCAAGTATCTTCAACGATAGCTTTCTCATTTCTACACTATAAGCCTCTAAGTCATCCCTGCAAGTATTCACTACATGTCATAAAACTTGAAGAAATACAAGAGAGTATTGGATATTGTAAAGGAGGGGTGATTAAATTTGTTGTAAATATCAATCATCGTTTGGCCTGCATGTCCATGAGTAGTTTAGTCAATATACGATTATTCACCATACATTTTTCTTCTAAATATCCATCATTGTTTAGCCTACGTGTCCTTGAGCACGTAGTTTAGTCAATATGTTCTAAATAATATGATTATTAATCACACAATTGTTCTAAATATCAAATATTGTTTATACTACATGTTCTTGTGTACGTAGTTTAGTCATTATGTTCTAAATAATATGATTATTCACCACGAGACTTAAAACGTAATAGGATTATTTGCATAAAAAAGTCAAATTTATGTATAGATATTAAACTCGCTAATTGTGTCGTGCCTCATCAGTGAAATAACTTACTTATTAACCGCAAGAAATTCATATACGTAAGTTGGAAAGTTGAAAGAGTTTTGGGAGAATATTAGTGAAGGAACTCTAAAAGAATTTAATACTTGACAAGGACTGGTACAGATTGAATACTTGTTAAAATAATAACTTCACTTTATTAATTATTAATGTTTACTTGTTAGAAGTCCTTGTCAGAAATTAAATTCTTTCACAGTCCTTCAATGATATTCTCCCAAGAGTTTTTGTATCAAGTTTTAAAGGTTGTGTAATTGTTTATACATGACTAAAAATTCAAGTTTTGTGCAATTTAGCCTATAATTAAAGTGTAGAGAGAGAACTAAGGGGCGCTTGATTTGAGGTCAAGGAAGTCAAATCATATTATCTTAGAGTCTTAGGTTCAAGTCTTAGGATATGCAACCATTTTAAATAAAAATGCCAAAGTTATCCCCCAGCTATCCACAAGGACACCATTAATAATAGTAATTTCATCTAGAGGGGCTTGGATTAGTTTAGATAGATGGTGGTAATAATACTCCCTAGTTTTCCAAGATACGGGCAGTGGAATTAAAAAAAATAAAGTGAACAGAGAGAGAGAGAGAGAGGAAGGGAGGGAGGGAGAGGAACTTGAATGGGAGAGGAAGATTGGGGAAGAGGTGGGGCTTTCTCATAGAAGGAGGATGAGTGATGATATAGAACATATCTGCCCAATCAAGCTTTTGCTCCTCACTAAACACAAATGCTTTACCAAAACCGTCTACGTCATCTACTGTCTGCCAAAATTTCTTCTTCTCCTCCGTTGGAAGATTGAAGAATTCTTGGATTCCCTTTCTTACTCCCTCAACTATAGACTCTTCCACTCCATGATTTATCACCTACATGATCAATATCAATCATAAATAAAATGAATGTCATAATCACAGACATTAAGTTTCATCAATACCTAAAAATTATTAGGATACATTTATTTCAAAAAATTCAAAAAAATTCTCGTAATTTGTGATAACCCTGAAAAAATAAATAAATAAATAAATAGTAATAGGAAATATATAATAATTTTTTAAAACATATTTTATTTATGTTTGGGAACAACTATGGCAGTAGGAAGTGTTGGTAGAGTGGAAGTTTGGAAAGTGTTGGTAGAGTGGAAGTTTACATGCTAGTAATTCTTAAGGTCTTAGGTTCCAATCCCCTGATGCAAATAAATGAGATTTTATCTTTCTCATCTCCTGTGAAATCACCAAAATATCCTCCCTCACCGGATTTGTTTTCTCTCTCTTCTCTCCCTTATTTCAATTTCGGTGGTGCAGAGTAAAGGGAGAAAATTTTGGAACTTGGGTGTGCGGTTCTGATCTCCATCTCATCTTCATCTTCATCTTCATCTCTTCCTTCTCATTTCCAGCGGTCGCCGGTGGTGTGAATGCCGTAATCCTACATTGCTAGCTGCAACGTCGTGAGTCCTTGGTCCTTCACTTCACCGTTGGTCTCTGCTTTTTTTTCTTCACTGTCGGTGCTATCATATCTTCTTCTACCTCCATTATTCTTTTCGTTCGTGCGTGGGGAGCAAAGGAAGAGTTGGTCTGGTGCTGTGGGAGGACTAACTCGTGGGTTAGAGGCTGAATTATTACTGTCTTCTTCTTCCCCTGTTCAGCTGTAAGTTCCATTTTTCTTCTTCCCTGTGTATGCGCTGTCAGCTATTTGAGGCGAGGAGTTTTGAACTCCTTCATTTGTTGGTTCTATTGTGCATGTGAATGGGTGGAAGAATGGAGTTGAATGCTGAAAAATCTGTCTTCTTTGTGGCTGTACGTTACCGAATATATATTGGTGTAAAAGAGGAAGAAGTTTGATCTAAATGAATTTTGTGGCTGTAAAGAAAAGGAAAAGAAGAGAAAAAAAGAAGGAAATGAGGCGGTGTGGAATTATAGAATTCTATTGTGTTTTTGCTGCTGTCCATGCTGTTTTAGAGAAAAGAAAATTTTAAATATTAAGCTGAAATTCTAGTTTAGTGTTGCTACGTGAGATTTGGAAGATGAGGATTTTAATTTCCTTAAGTTAAGATTGAATTGTCCAATGAAGAGAAGGAACTTAGGAAGCTAAATGTTCATTTTATATACTAGAGAATTGTGGAAAATGACATCAAAGAGGAAGAAGCTTGGCTTGAGCTTGAGTAACTAATGAATGAAAGGTGTTTGACATAATGCCCTATCAAAAGAAGCTTTACTTGGTTTTGCATTTTTAAAAATTTCATTAGTCCTTGTGAAAAGTATATTAGTATAGAAGTTATTGATTTGAAAATTAACTTGTAAATTTGTAAAAGAATTTGATAATGAGTTTGCATGTAGCTATTTAAATACTTGGAACTTGTATGGGCATTAGTGGAATTTTGGATATTTTAATTGAATGATTGGAATTAATGCACCTAAGGTGTTGGTGTAAAGCCCAAGAGTAAATTTTACCTCAAGTAAGTAGATTGCTTTGACTAAAACAAATTGGTGGAGACTAGTGAAATAAATGATAATACTTGGGCTAACTTTAAAACATGAATTTTAATTTTGAAATTCTAGATAATGGTGGTTGATTGGAATTGTGTTAAAAAATTAAAAATCTATTAAAATTCAATTATTATATCATTATAGGGTGAGTGGAAGAGGAGGATGCTAGTAGAAATTGAAGAAAGAATATTTTGA